TATTCATTGTCTCCGCTTAGGCCGTTCGCGTGTCTGATGGCAGGTCAATGGCTGAAGTTTTTTCCACAACTAAGATGATGTGTTTTTTTTCGGTATGAATGATTATAAATTTCGCAGTTTTATTTCATGGTTATTCGAAAGTTATTTGAAACCAAGTAATATAGCATATTAACATAATACTCTTCTTTTAATGAACGATGTCTTTTATTAAATCCTGATTAATTTAACTGATGATTAATTCAACTGATAGAATTATGGCAAAATTTCTAATTATATAACTCAACGTAATCGATAGTTACTAATATATACAGGGTGTTTGGAAAGTAATGATAAATCTTTCGCGGGGGGTAGGATGGACTAAACTGAGAAGAAAAGTCCTCTACCATTTTGCAATTTTCGCAATAATTAATTGCAAAATATTAATTGCTAAAAATTGCCGAAAATTGGTCTTGAATAATTTTTTGCTCAAATACTATCAACTTTACAGAAAAACTGCAAGAAACGAAAATTGTTTATTTTCTTTTCATAAAGCTCTAAGAATTTTTTCAGAATTTTTTATCAACTTTTTAGAATTTTTATCAACTGCATTTTCTCATTTTTACCAACATGAAAAAATAAGGTATTAAAAAATTCTGAAAAATTATAAAAAAATTCTTAGAGCTCTATAAGAAGAAAACAAACAATTTTTATCTCTTTGCAGTTTTTCTGTAAAGTTAATATAATAGTATTTGAGTAAAAAATTATTCAAGACCAGCAATTTTTAGCAATTAATATCTTGTTAACTATTGCGAAAATTGCAAAATGGTAGAGGACTTTTCTTCTCAATTTAGTTCATTCTGCCCCTATGCGAAAGATTTATCATTATTTTCCAACATCCTGTATATTATTTTATTAAAATAATATATATATTGAATAAATTATTCAATAATTCATGTAATGTTGAGAACTATCAAGTTTATGTTAATATATGTGAAAAAAGATTAGACAGCGATTTGTATAGTTAAAAATTTTATTTTGAACAATTCTATTCGAATTAATTAATTCCGCCGAATTAATCGCCGATTACATTTGGCCGCCTTTGATAATTTTTCGTTCGTTAGAATGTTTATGTTTCGCTTGTATACAACTACATGTAATGTAACGTTGAGCAATGCAGATAGCACCAAAATCGCTATAAATATTCCTGAATCATGACTCAGAACTACTCTGGTGGTTTGACAGCTATATATTTTATATATATGTATGTATACATATATATGTGTATATGTACATGTTTGATATACGAGCTTACGAAAAAGGTTATATAAATATAAAATAAAAAATTGATTGTCGCAAAATCATGCGTGATATTAAATTAATTGGTCAAAATATAAATGTTCTCAATTTTTCAACGAACAGTCACAATGAGCGATTATGACAGTTATGATGAGCGATTATGACAGTGGCCTAAGTCATAATATTCTTGTCGTTTTGAGATATTTCTTTTTGCTTTGATTTTGTGTTGGTATATGTATTAAAAGAATATTTTGTCACTACATAATAAAAAAAATATTTCCCAAAATACATAGATACTTTTACAATGTATAAGATAAATTGAGATAAGATGCATAGCTTTTTAAAATGTAAAAAAAATTGTCAAATTTGTTTACTGTTTATAGCAAACAAATTTACATATTTGATATATATTTTGCAGTTATAGTAAATAATTTTTCTAAAAAATACAAAAACGAACGAATATTTGTTATATTTGCAAATAATTTGCGATTCGTTATATTTGCAAATGGAATTTGCCGTTATGATATACGATTAGCGTTCATAGTAAGGAAAAATGTCAAGATATTAGACGAGGAAAGAGTACTTAATAAAAGACCGATTTCGGAAATGATCCATATAAAGCAACAGAAACTGAGTTTGAATTTACAGAATCATACGTATTCTTTAGACCCACTATATATGGATTTATTTACGGAACTGTGACGTTGTTGTTTCCCCCTTTGTCTTATTTTTATTTTTATTTCACAATAACTACATGACTTTATTATTTTGACTCTTATTTCATATCTGTCGACACCACAAGACCTTTACGTCGAGTCGCGAGAAACGCTTACATGTAAGTTAATAAAATTAAAATTCAGATAAATGATTTTAATAATTCTCTAATTTTTCGTTCTTCGTTTTTCTTTTGAATGACTACATAGCAAATCTGACAATCTGATGAGCGATGTGATTCTACTTATTGACGCAATGTATTTTACTTTATATAAGTTTTTATATTATTGTATATAAGTTAGTATTTTTGATAATCATTTGTCTATTTATTACATAGCTAATTTGGCATTTAGATAAAGAAGAATGAGCTAAATTGTCGTGAATCATCATCTTAGAATTTGCGTTACTTATGTAATTTCGATTTATATTTTATATTGATAAGGACCCGAATTGATGGGTCGAAACGTTTATTTTATTCGTTTTGTTACATTTGCACGAAAAAAAAATAAAGAGTTTTCTGTGCATCCGAACAACCGATGTAAGCTCTGATGGGCTTTTTTATATTTTTCACTGATAGATTCTTTCAAGCCTCATTTTATATATTTGTTAATATATTCATAATATATTTATGAATATATATATATTCATAATTGTGATATTGTTATTCGTAATATTGTTATTTCAAATAGTATACGCACATAAACTACTGTAAATATTAATTATCTTTGAGAATGACTAGAAAAATGCACTATTTAGCGATAATTGGAAAAATTATAACCTATATATATGATCATCTTTTTCATATGACCATAATATCTGTTTACCCTAATCTTTTCTGCAATTGTAAAATTTTACGAGTAGTAAAATTGTAAAGAAATATGACTTCTTTGATATCTCAAATGACCATTTTTTTAAATAACAATAAATCTTAAAAATAAGTTATGACCACAAAAGAATTTTATATATTTAGAAACTAGTTAAAAACAAACACCCATTTATATCTTATGATTATCCTAATTATGTTTACTTATCATTTTTGTCAGTATTCTAGTTTTTTCTTTGCCATTTCCAATTTATGATGTTTGTAGAATTTTAAAATATTCATGAGAAATTGGCAGAAGAGATACACAATAACAAATCATCATGTCTTTATATTTTTCCTTCATCGCCGCCCTGGTCAGATACTCGTATAGATATATACATATAATGAAAATATAATTGGATCTACACAAGTTTGCCAGAGAGCAAGTGACTTAAACTGCTGTCAAAATAAACGTGAACTGAAGTTTGTTTAACGACAATTACTAAAACGCCGCGTTAAGCGTTTCAATCCTCAACTGTTAAAAAAAATAGTTTTATATAATTGTAATATAAATCGATATAACACAAAGTTAGTGATGAATCTAACTTTTCCACATTTTTTTCTTCAGGCCACTTTCATAATTACTAGGCGCGTGTAATGGGCACACCTGCCTGTAAATCCCTTAGCATATGAGTTTGCATAAATATTGAGGTATGTATTTGAGGCGCGCCTGCTTTCGTCTAAATAAACATTCACTCGTCATAGTTATTCCGTAATAATTTTATAACAATTTCTTATAATATTAAATAAAGTATGTTATAAAAAAATGATTAGATAGAAAAGCTGACTGGTCTAACTTTCACCAACGTCTATCTAAATTTTTTTTCTGATTAAAAGTGTTCTATTAACTTTTTATTTAAAATATATAATATTATTTGTTGATATTTTGCATTTTATAATATGAAATTAACGCAAGTATGTGTCCGAAATATGCCTTGGCAAACAGATTCCTGTGTCAAGCACTCATGACCCTGCGTGTGCCACTTGTGGCATTGAGGGAAAAAAAAAGCAAAAAAGAAGGGAGCACGTGGTGCGCTATATATGCGTGTTCGTCGCGCTTGTTTACGCTGGCACCCTTACAACGAGACAATTGATTTCGTTCGCACGAGGGATTACCCGCGGGCGAGTGAGCGATGACGTCAGGAAGGAAGGATGTTATTACAACGTGATACCAACAGATGTGCATAGTAAGCACTAAAACATTATCTTGAAGCTCACACGAGTTTACGAGATTCAAGCGATGCCGCAATCACGTGCGTTATTCGATCGTGTTTAATTGTGTCGTGGAGCGAGCAAAGAAAGGGTTGAGCCGTAGCACTCTGCCTATTAAATCCGTTCTAATTGTTTTAAAACAAAATCATTCGGAGGTAACTTTCGAACCTAAAAGTGACTTTCGTTGATTTAGCAGATGCAACAATTTGTTAAAAACAAAATGAGCTTTGATTTATTTCGATATTTTAGTTTTTTTTAGCAAATTATCGTGACAATATATTTAAAAAATTGCAGTCTTAGAAAAATAAATATCTATATGTGTATTTGTATACATATCTTATTAAGCAGAAGTTATATATGTTACTAATACATTTTTTATAGTCCAAGATATAAACAAAAATATATATTAAACTTAAATGTTCTATCGCATTCTACCTTATTTAAAAAAATTTTAAAAGAAATTAAAAAAATTGTCTTTGTATTATGCTAATCGATGAGAAGACCCCCTTAAATTGATTATGCAAATAATGATATTTCTATACATATTACTACATGAATATGAAATCTAAATAATAAATTTGGAGTAGTGGAAAAACGTGGCGGGAGCAGATACTATAATAGAAAATTAAAAAATATAAAGTAAAGAGTATAAAAGTTTGATTATATGTTACCATATATAAGTAAAATAATATAGATATGTATATATAAGTATAAAATGAAATATGTAAAAGTTTGATTGTATATTATATAAATAAAATATTGTACTATATATAGATAAAATCTATTTTTACATTTTTTCAACAAGATATTATCAAATTGCTTTTATTTCATTAATTGTAAAATAAATTTACCTCCAAAATATCCTACAATATTTATCTATCTACTTCAAAAGTCTTCGAACTCGTCCACTTATATGTTCCAATCTTCTTTGTCTCAGATGAAAATTGAAACGTCCCAAGACATGACGTAGACAGCGGCAGGTGCGTGAAAAATCGCTGGAGTGGCCGCCATGAAGAATCTCGTGCCGTAGTTGTTAAGCGATGTTAGTGACTGCCTCCCCGATGGACAATTCGCCGAACACGCTGTCGGTAGTCGAGGAGGAGGCGACGAACGTCACCGACATCGACGACGCGTTCCCACCGCATGTCGACACCAGCAACATTGTCATCCATCCGGAATCACCCACCAGCAAGAAGCAGACACTGAAAACTTTCGCTGAGGTGAACACGTTGCTGCAGGCCAGCAGGAAGCGGGAGGCGAAGCTGATCATCCGGGAAAACGCCTGGCCACTTAACAACGGCATCAGGACGCAGCTCTGGCCGGCGCTCTGCGATCAGC